TCAGTCGACAGTCGAGTGTTTGAAATAAATCCTTCTGTGAGATGATGTGGCTTCTTACACAGAATAAGACATATTTCATTCACTGAAAGATACGCATGACAATCGCAGCTTCTGTCGAATCGCGATCTCGATTCCATTTCGATTTATCGTGCAGCCCTACTCCTTTATCTCCCTCACTAATTTAACACTCTTCCTTAACCATTAAACTGTGATGAAATTTCACCTTGTTTGGGTGAAATAACAGTTAACGAGTATTACTTCAGTTTGCTCCTTTGTGCTGGGTGACCTCTACAAACAAATTGCATTTGTATTATGTGTTGAGTTAAAGTTACACAGTAGCAGGACAAAGGCCAGTCTGTCTGGATCAACTGAGCCCATGTCACAAGATCCAGTCTATCAGACCTGGGGAACAATAACAAGGAGAGCAGACACTGGCTTCATTCAAGGACTCTCCTTTACCTCGGTTTAAGCATTTATATGAAGGACAAAGGGTAATAAATCCTCCCTGAGTCTGGAGACCATTATACAATCCTTATCTGCCACAGGGGAGTAAACGTCTCGTACACTGACTGTCTTCGGTCCCGTTCGAGGGCCCATGCAGGCCGTGTTCAATAGCCAGGTACCAGGATGAATGTTTGTCTTGGACCTCTCCTGAGTCTGATCCAATCCAATACATATAGAACAATGGCATAAACGAGACCATGGAGAGAGAAAGAGCAGTTTATCCTGCTTCTCAGATTAGATATCTTATTCACCTCATGCTGGATCCCTGAGGTTTAGAAAGGAGAAAGCTATGCCAGAAAAAGAATACACTTTTTTCTCATTAGCCTTAACTCAAAATATATTTGTAATGATTTTACTATTGATATAAGATGAGGAAGCATTGTAAAAGTGCTTTTGATGCTTTTGATCTGGCAATTAAGTCTCTGACAGTTAAGTGTGTCATTTGACAATTTTGCAGTCGTTAATGTCTTGTGATTATATAAATAAAATATTGTTTATATTGTTGCATATTAATGAATATAATTAAATATCATTCTTCCTTTTGTTCATTTAGTGAATAACAGTGTGAAAACTAATGCTTTGATTATTTTGACTATAGTTAATTTAATTTCTTGCATTATGCATTTTGAATCTAACAGTTTGTTTTGGTTTAAATGATGGTTTCTCTGATTGAATCACCTCAGTTACAGCAGCTTGAATATATTAGGACAGTGTGATCACTAAGGTAACAGCACAGTTTGTCATGCACAGCTGTAGATCTGGCGTACAACATCTGTTTTGCATGTTTCCTCTCCCGACCTTGTCTGAAGCGACACTGGGGGATGTAGACCATATGATATCCCAGCACATCCAAGCGCTGGATTCATCGCTTCCCAGACCAGTCAGTTTTGGGATCCGAATGTTTGACATTGTCGTAGAAACCACACAAGTCTGATCCAGGAATGTGAATAGATTGCAGATGGAGTGTGAGGACCCTTTTGAAGACCCTCCCTTTGTGACATCATTACCCTATTGTTCTGAATTGCTCGTTTTGCAGGCAGCACTCCAGAAGTGGTTTAAATGCACCCTGGATGTCTGGCTAACGTCACGTTTAAGAACAAGGGTGGTCACTTGTCCAGAAGTGGAAGTGGTCAATCTCTCTGAAGTTGTTTCCCAGCGCACGTGAGGTTCTGATGGTCTGAGCTGTGGTCTGACCGCATGTATCAATTGCAGGCCGCGCTCAGGGAGCTAGTAAATATTTTGCTCAGCCTGTTGCCTGGTTTCCATGATATTCCACTCACTCCCACCAGATTGTATTCATGTTTTGCTCGCTCTCAAACTGAGTCCAGTTGAATGAGCTTAAAACTGTGTGTGGCTGTACATGCTTTCACAGAACCCGTAAAAGCTCTTTTTTCTTATCTGTAAGTTGATAGTGAATAGTGAATCAGCTTTGCTTAAGCCTAGCACATACCATAATACATTGCAGTCTTTCAGCCTGTGCACATTTAAAGTCTCTAATTCTATGGGAAAGTCTTTCTGCTTAGAAGCTAGTAGCATGTAGCTAGTAGCATGTATGTCTGGTATCTAACATGTTATTGTTTTCATTTCATGTTATTTTTTTCTATTTGCTATTTTGAACTCCCTATTAGATAAACAATCTTGATAGGCAACTCACACAAAGAGCACAGGAGATTCTACTAACAATTGCAGTGGAGTTTGGCTTTAGCATGTTGCTAAGCTAATGACATGATACTATAATTAGAATAAAAATACACAGAACACATATCAAGTAAACCAATTAGCTGTTAATTAGATTGAACTATTTTAATTATGATTTTCCGTCACTGAATGGATGAATTAATTAATTATAATAGTGATTTTTGTCTTAGAAAACAACTTAAATTAATTGAGGTGCATTCCATCTGCTTTCAGTTACCAGACTCCTTTAGTTAATAATTTCTGTTCTCTGTTTTTGCCTCCCTACTAGAGAAGACTTACACAAATCCAGTTTTATTTACACCGTAGACTCTTGAGATCAAACAGAACGTGATGAAATAGGCTTCGAATTTGTTTTGAGGCTGTTCCAGAGCTTTATCCAGAAGCACACATTACCCTTTAAATCCATGGAGTTTCTCTAATATTCCGGCTTTTTGTAATCTAGGCTGTTTGAATGAGAACATTGTTCGTAGTTCCAACAGGCTTTTATGTGGTGTAAATTGGACGGCAGTGCAGCTTTTGACAGAGAGTTCATTCTTAAGAGCTCATTGGCAGTTTTCCATGGATTTCTTCAAGGAATATTTTGACATTTGGATATTTTTTATTATCAGGTATGATGAATGTTCTTCTGCAGGCCCTAAAATGTATCTCTTAGAAATGAAATCATATATTAATTTTCTTGGCAGGAGTTCAGTCTGGTGAAATGTCACCAGATGAGACTTCAGTTCCTGGATGGTGCCGGACCATCAGTGAGGACCTTTCCCAAGATGAGAGCCCAACCCGAGGAAGCTCGGTCCGCTCCCCCATCCGCTGCATCTCACCCGAGCTGGCCAATACGATTGCTATGAACCCTGGGGGGCGGCCCAAGGAGGTAGACCGCATGGATATTACCCCTAGTATTAATCCCAAAAATAAATGTGGGTGTATATGTGTTTGTGCATTTGGATATGTGTCCACCTGTCGTTCTTTCTCCAGAGACACATGCACAGCTACAGAGAAGCATTTGAAGAAATGGATGGGGGTCCCGTCAGGCCCCCTCCGATCGCTGGTGGTGAGGCCCTACCCCAAACCCCTGCCTTCCCTGTCTCGCCACAAACCCCTTACTTCAATCTGAGTAAGTTTCCCCGCTGGAGGAGGAGGGCGCCATAGAGCTGTAGAATCACTGCCTCTCGTTGTTAACATTTTAAAAGGGTCACAACCATCACTGATCATTGGTTTTGTTAATTTTGATGTTCTAGAAAACACAAGTGTTTAGCATTGCAAGAAACTATAATGAAGTCCAGCTGTCAGCTGTTTGGATATTATTGGTATAGTTTTAAAGTAAAGAGTAAAGTTCTAAAAAACTATAGAAACATGGCAAGAAACTACAATGAAGTCAAACTGCCAGTTATTTGGATGTTATTGGTATCGTACAGTTTTTAGAGGAAAGCTCTGTTTCAAAATATAGTGAACTGCCTACATAGGTGTACATCATAGGTGTGCTTCTAACACAGATGCTATTCCAGAACATAGTCAGCATTGCTTATACCCTTCACGGAGAAAATGCATAGCAAGAAACTATGAATAATCAATCTGAGATGGTGGAGAATGCAGGCAGGTGTTGATTACAAATATAAATCATTCAGTAAATAAAAGTATCGATAAAAGTAGTTAAATCTTATTAAAAACTGGGTTACCCAATATGTACTTTGTTTGTATTCTTATTAAAATTTACCAGGAGCTTAGCAAAATGCAAACATGAATCTCAATTAAAACTCAATTGAAATCAATTGCAAGTTGGATTTCACATGTATGACGCCACTGCCCATGTGGAGTGTTACAAATTGCTCACTTATGAGGTCACAGATCAGTTAGGACGCAGACTTGGGCTACGTTCACACTAGTGCATTTTTGTTTTAAAACACATAACTTTTGCTACGGTTACGCCTGTCATTTACACTTCTCCGGAATTTTTGACACTCGAAAACAGAGACTTTCGTAAAGGCTGCAGACCCCGTTTTAGTTTGAAAACTCCGGGGTTGTGTTTCAGTGTAAACGGACCAAAACGGTGACTTTTAAAAACGATGGTATGGCTGCCAACATTCGCTCTGCGTATCCTTGACGACCGTGTGACATGAAGACTGAATTGCAAACTTTCCTGGCTTTGTTGTCATTTTTAGCAGCCATTGTGCAGCTAAATTCAGTATTTTATAACACAGCAGCTGCCTACATGCCCAAGAGGCGAGCTGTGCTTAGAGCAATCATCAACAAAAACGTCCTTGCTTTTCCTCACCATTATGCTCATTGTTGTACCTGCCAGTGACTAGCAACCAACTTCCTGTTTACACTTTTACACTCATGCCCAGTGTGCATGAATGGTCATGTGACATGCGTTTTCGGTTGTGTAGTTTGGACGGAGATCGTTTCTGAAATGCAGTGAAAATGCCAGTGTAGACGAGGATCCTTTTTTATTTTAAAACGCCGTTTTAAAACGAAAATGCACTAGCACAATGTATGTGGTGGACAGCAAGAAAGCTCACTAGGTTTTGGAACAGAGCCATTGTGTTTCATAATTAGCACATCAGAATAGTGGTGGGTTTTTTGCTTCTTTCTGTAAAAGAATCTTTAGGGCTAACATTACATTAACACACTGTCTATAAGCCAACGTGAGGTCTGACTGTACTTAAATCCAACCCTACCTCGGGGTGTTTGCGTGAGCCAGTAGATATCATTAACATATGCTGTAGTTCATTCACATGTTCTCAACGTTAAAGATGTGTGGCCTCCGTTTGAGTGATAACACACACTTTGTGTTGGCTCATAGACATGCATAAGTGCTCAGATCAGAAAGACACCGCTCGCACTTGCTCCCCAGCAAATCCCAATGCCTGTGGGCCTGAGAAATGCTTTTTGTCAGCAGTTTTTCTGGGGCATGCTAGCCTCCACAGTCATTGTATCTCAATGCAAGAACAAGCACATTTGCGCCTCAGGTTTCATGTGCAGATGAATTTCTCCAGTTCAGGTTTTTATAACCTATTGCTTCATCTTCCAATCCAGCATATTGTCCCTGCAGGTTTAATATAAAGCTGCTTGTAAAAGTCTGTAACCTCTTCATAAGGTTAAACACACACAATGTTAAGCATCTCTGTTTTCCTTGGACTTCCACAGCATTTCTTTTTTACCAGACACCTCATTTGAAACCAATTCAAGTCATCCTCTTGAGCTGACATTTTACCCTGAGGCCACTTCACGTTCAAAGCTCTTCAGACTAGTTCTGCTACCAGGAGCGCCTAGATGTGGCTTCAGGGAACAAAACAGAGCTTCAGCCTACAATAACACAAAACATAATCAATCAAATCCTGTCCTTTTTGTGTTACATTACCACAGGATATTTAGTGAACATTAGGGCTGGGAGGTACAGTATATTGAATGTTCATGGTATACTTGTGATGGTTTTGCTGGTGATATAATGTGCTGTTTATTTATTACCACAGGATATTTAGTGAACATTAGGGCTGGGAGGTACAGTACATTGAATGTTCATGGTATACTTGTGATGGTTTTGCTGGTGATATAATGTGCTGTTTATTTGCAAGCTTCTAAATACAGTTTCATTGGAAAAGTTTTGTAATCCCTCTTTGTTTTATAATTCTTAAATATGAGAACGCTAAGACTTGGTAAGTTGGCGTTAGAGTTGGTAAGTTCAATTCAGGTCAAACTATCAGCTTAAAAGAATCAAATCAAAAGTCATTAATTGATTCTTTTGCATTACCATTGAAAAAAACTGTTATGGTTTAATTAAAATATATGTAGGTAAATGGTGTTTATAATAAAATGAATGTAACTGAAATAATTTACATGAATCATTTCAAATTTCAGGAAATTTATAATGATTCAATTCATAAATTCATAATAAATTAATTCAATTGAATTGATTCGACAGTTTGTTTGCGTATTTGCATAATATTAGCATTTTTCGCATAGGATTTTTTCAAGTATTAAAATGTTTTAGTAAAAATAATTGTAGGTAAATTTTGCTGTTTAGAATGTTATATTGGTGCATAGAAATGAACATGCCTCAATATCATTATTTGAAGAGTTTGGTTCCAAAACACTATAAATCCATTTTGATTAATTTGAGTAAAAATGTGTTTTCTTCACCAAGAAAGTGGCAAGATGAAAACCACTATTTTCTGTTTCAAACTTTCACATCGCTTTTTTAGGTTATAATAACATAAAAAAATTCAAATCCAGATTTTGATTTTCAAAGATTTATTATACATTTTTTATTTTTTTTTCCCAAAATGCAATAAATCCATTGAATCAATATAAAAGTTATTTTTCATATTGAAACTGTTGAAAATACACAACATGGTTAATCCACATATGACAGCCTCTGAACTTCAATACTAAGTCAATACTAATCTTATATACAGGCACTGGACTAAAAATACATTCAATCAGTCATCGCTCCCAAAATGAACGCGATGAACGCGATATTGCATAGTCTGTGATCTACGGCTCTGTGTATCCATCTGAAAGCATGTGATGGAGATTTACTATTAATCACAGAACCGGCTTTACTGACGAGATGCGCATGACAAAAAGAAAGGGAGAAAACATGACAGAATAACTCGGCGGATATCGCATTTTGCGTAAAATAAAAAATGGACTTTTCAATGCCGACCATATACAACACTGATTTTGTCGGAAACTCAGTTTTTTTTTTTAAATGGCGATTATCGCATTTGGAACCAAACTCTTAATTTCTTCTGTTTCATTTAACAAAAAACAGTGCAAAGCATGCCTTGATTATTTTTAATTAGATTTTTACTGTATTTTACTTTTTGAATGAAATATTTTAATGTACTTGGCAGCAATGGCTGTTAAAATGGTGGAAATTATTGAAGAAATTATCCTTTTAAGTCATTTCAGTGCAAAATTCATAAATATTGAGATATGAAACATCACCAAAAGGCTGGGAAAAAAATATAATTTTTTAGCGATATGTCACCCAACCATAGCCATGAACTTTCTGGGTGGTTCTGTTGGATTCCTGGGGAGCTGGTGACCCGTAGGGGCTCTTTTTCTGTTCCGAGGTGGACAGACACTCACATGCTCCAGTAGCCACTTTCTAGTAGCACGTCTCTGTGGCTCCCTCCTCCTGCAGAGAACGGGAGGCTGGAAAGCTTCCCTATAGAACCCCCTCCCCTTCTCTTTGTGTCCAATGCTGAGGCACTTATTCTGGCAAACAAAGAATTGATTTGGATTCTTTGGTAAGTGGAGGATGCATGTGTGTCAGCAATTATATCAACTTGGGCCTGCCAAAATGCAAGCATATACTCAGCCTTTCCCAGAATGCATGTGGAGAGCAGCCCTGAAGAACACATACCCAAACACATCATGATCTGATCTGACTCAGGTAGTCATTTCTAAGTTTCTAAGGTGTAATGGGGTCCATTACAGTGTGATTCGATCGCTCAAACCACAATCAGAGGACCACCCATTCAGCTGTCAATCAACTATTGTGGTAAAACAAGCTTTTTAGTGAACATCCAGGAATAACTGTCTGAAAGAAAAAAATAAATTGATAATTGATAATCCCCCCCCCCCCCACATTTTTGGGG